AACTCACAAAACCTGGAATGCTTTTGGCAAATTCAGTGATTTCCTGAACAGCTTCCACCGAGCGAAACTGGCAGCGCTGGAAAATACGTATGGCCACTTCTTTGTTTTGTTCTTGCATGGGGCCCAAATGTTTACACTTGATCTGGTCTTCTCCCATCATTAAGGAATTCATGTCATAAATGACGAATGGCTAAAAAAAGAAAGATACAGTTGATGATCAGGATTTTTGCAACACGAAACACAGTGACTATCTGAAAAACAGGTTGGAGAAGACAGATTTAAGTATATGAATGTGAAGAACTCAGCTGCAATAGGTCTCTCAGTTTTCAAGGACATATTCTGAAGAAAACCATTTTGTTTTGGTAAATAAAGCCCTATGTTTTCCCCTCAAGGTAAACTGCTAAGAAACAGCAATCATTTAAAACCAATAGCATATCTGCTTTATCATTTTGGAAACTTGTTACATCAGCATAATACTGCCATTACAATTAGGCTCCTACATTTTATTACTAAACCTAAACTCTATTTTTATGGTTTTCTGAATTTCCTTGCCATAGTTTTGTAATGGGCAATAAAACCCATGGAAAATGTATTGCATGGGATTGGGATATTGTCAGCTAATTCCCTCCACTCCCCATGATCATACACACATTTACTGAATGTTCTTAACCCGGGACTGGAATGTAACACTGTCATCCTCAATGACAGAGAAGAGAAGCTGAAATAGAAAAGCTTACTTGTATCTTAGTTCTAAAACTCATCAAGCAACATGGAAGATAAGCCATTATTCCCATAGAAATAGAAGACAGTAGCATTGTGCATCAAATCCCTTTACGGTATTTTATTGAATTTATCCCTACATCAATAATATTTATGATGAATCATTGATTCTTTAAAACCAAAACAGGTAAACAATTGTGATTGATGAACTGCAGATAGATAGATAGACAGACAGACAGACAGATATAGACTGACACACAGGCATATCTGGAAGGCTGTTTCATTGTGATCACTTCATAAACAATGTGTTTCCTCAGAATGTATTCTAAAGTCATCACAATGAACCAGGTAGCTACATGGATGAAAAGTAGAAGGTGCTGGAGCATTATTTGCTTCAACTGTACTTTGAAGAACTGCTTTTAAAATCAAAGGAATGTCAGACATGGAAAATGATATATAGGATGAAAGGTGGAAGATTTGATTTCTGCTTTTCTTCCTCACCCATTGAAATCTCTTAAAAATGGAAGGGTTGGAGAACTCCCCAAAAGAGTATGGACCTGTTGCTACAGAAGATAAGAGGATTGTCAAAATTCAGATCTGTTGCCTATATAAGGTTAAGATTAAAGGCACCACATGATACTGCAACATGCACTATCCAAACATTCTTTCCTTTCTTATCCAGAGTTGTTAAGTCTGAGATATATTATCTAGCCAGTGCCTATCTGTTTGAATTCTGCACTTTAGTTTTTTTCATTTTCTATTATTTTGTTGAGCCACCAGTTCTTGCTGGCAGGCAAATGGTATTTTTTTGCAGATATTCCAGTGCACCATTGTTGCTACTTTGTCATGCCGTTGTTTAGAGTCAGTCTGTGTAATCTTCTGTTGCGATCAGCTGAATTTTTCAACTTCTTTGCAGAGGCCTGCATTTACTATCTGTTGCTGTCCTCTCAATTTTGGCTTTGTATGCATTTGTTCTTAAGGCTTCATCTTATGTAATCAGAATTTGCCCCTCTGTCTTCAATTTTCCTGCTCTTAGGCATTGCCAAGTCTTGTTATCTGCTTTGCCTGCTATTTTTTAATGTAATACTTTGCCTTGTCATATCTTTCATTTGGTCTTTCTTGAAGGCCAGTTTGGTCTATACAATACTCAGTGAACCTTCGTAATGTACTGGGTTCAGTGTATCTTCTCCACTGTCCTTCAGATATTCTTCCAATGTCCTTTCTTCTTCTTCAACTGTCTGGTATACTTGCAACATTCCACACCGACATATTTTCCTTGGTAAGTAGAGTCTGTCAACATTACTGCGCTGATAAAGGGCATAATTCAATGTCATTATTTTTCTGTTCTTCCTATCCAGAGATTTTAGTTCAGTTTTAGTCCAGTCTACTATTCCAGCTGTGTATTTAATGACTGGAATTGCCCAGGTATTAATTGCCTTAATGGTATTTCTACCAGTGAGTTTGAACTCTAAGATCTTGTTCATTCTTCTGCTGATCTATTATTAACCTTCTTCTTGACTTCAGTGTGCTTGTGTCTGAAGTATGCTCAGGTATTTGTAGTGATCTTCTTCATCTAGACTCTTGATGTTATTTCTGTAGGGCATCCTTCAGCTCTCACTATTTTTCCCCTACTGATGGTGAGGGCAATACATTTGTCCAGTGCAAACTCCATTGCAATACCTTGGACAGTGTTGAGTAGTGATTCAATTTCAGATAGTGTTTTTTCCATACAGCTTCAGATCATCCATGTAAAAGATGTGAGATTGCCTGGCATATGTTTTTGATAATCATAGGGCAACTTTTTCAGTATTATTGACAGAAGAATCAGTGCAGTGGCAAACAGTAGTGATGATAGTTGAGTCGCCTTGTAAAATTCCTCTTTTGATATTAATTTGATATCTACCACCATTGACCAGCAATATTATTTTCCATTGTGCCATAGATCTTTGCACAAAGCTGCAGATATTTCTACTGACTTATGTTATTTCTAGACACTTGATTATCCATACATGTGGCAGGATGTCAAATGCCTTTTTGTAGTCAATCCATACTACATTCAGGTTGGTCTTCCTTCTCTTGCAGTTTTCCCAAATCATCTGGTCAATTGGACTTGATCTTTTGTTCCTCTGCTGTTTGGGAGGATTCCTTTCCGCTCAGGTGGAAAGAGCTTGTTTTCAATTAGATGCTACTGGACTTCATCAGCTACCACACTAGTCAGCAATTTGAAAGTTGTTGGTAAGCAGGTAATTGGCCCATAGTTGCCTGGTGCTGCCCCTTTTGCTGGATCCTTCATTATCAGGTATATTTTGTCAGATGTTAGCCACTTTTCAATTTTACCTCCTTGCAGTATGTTGTTAAACTGCTCGGCAACAAGTATGTGTAGACTAGTCAGATGTTTCAACCAGTTCATTTTCACCTGGTGCTGACCAATTCTTGATCTTCCTTGCTCTTTTTTCTACCATTTCTGCTGTTATTACTAATTCTTTCATTTCAACTGCTTTTTTATTCTTATCCACCTCCTTTAACCAAGCTGCATTCTTGTTGTATTCTTTGGGTTATCCCATATCTGGCCATAGAACTACACTGTTTTTTCCTTATCAAGTAGTGTCTGATTCAGTCCAGCCTCTTCATTGATGATTGGTAGAAATGTTTCTGATTGGATTGAAATTGAAAGTTCTGCCTATAATTTGCATTTCACGCTTTGTGTCTGCTGATCTTTTTGGCTATAACTGTTATCTGCTGCTTTATTATTTTCAGTGCTTCCTTGATCTTCCTTATTTCTAAGTGGTATTTCTTAGAAAATTGCAGAAAATACTAACTATTGAAAACTAGAGAACCTGAAATAGATTTAACAAAGTATATTTTGCAAAGGCTAGTGAGCACTATATGTCTCAGAAAAAAATTGTCTACATAACTATTTTAAACTGTACAACCCATTTAAGCATTACCAGTCATTTACACATTTAGACATTATGAAGTGTTGCCCATAATTCTGAGAAGGAACATAGTTGATAATTGTGTCCACAATAAACATGTTAATGTTTGGGAACCCAAAGTCCATCACATAATAAAATTGTTTTACACATTATTTACTGAATGAGGACATTTATTCTCATTCTTTTTAAAAGAAAGGCTAAGAAAGAATTGGCCTTTTTTTTATCCCAGTAACATTATCCTCATAGTTGGAATTTAATTAGGGATAGGTGAACATTGTCACAAGAACGCACACAAAAGTTCCAGATTAGATGCAATTCTTAGCACATCAGACTCGGAATGTGAAAGCCCAGTTTCAAAGAGTTTCCAGTCTCAAGATTTTCTTTATTCAGGGAATAAATAGAAAACTGCTGCCTATTATAATATTTACCCTGAAGTCACACATTTTAAAATATTATTTAATGCGGTGGCGTGGAGGCCAATCGCAGGAACGATGGGACAGCCGCGCATGGCAGAAACGCTTCCTGAGGCCAGAGGGGAGGCTGGAGAGATTGCCCCACCCACCACTGACCAGATGCCCTCGCTTCCCAAACCATTTTTCTGACCTTCTTTCTTCATCACATGCCTACCCCCTCCCCTGTTGCTGGAGAGCTGGCCCGGTATTCACAGCGGGCTGCGGAACCCCAGAGTGTGCTGGTTGAGGGGCTGGCAGGCTGTGGCTATTGACGGACACTGTCGGCCCCCATGTGCTCGCTGTCCTCTGTATGCGGGGGCCGATGGTGTCAAGGTGGCCCCTGCCTCGCCTTGCCCCGTGGCAATGCCACACCCACCCTACCCCTTGCCTCGCCTCACCCTGCAGGACGAGCCTCCTGCCCACTGCCCCACCTGCCAGAGACCCCCTGGATCTCCCCCAACCCTGCCCGGCCCCCACAGGCATCCCTCCCCACGAGCAACATTGAAGTGGCCATGCCCACCCTGGCCATGCCCACCCAGTCTGCCATGGCCACCGTAGCCATGCCCACCCAGCGGGCCACGCCCACCCAGCGGGCCACGCCCACCCGGCACCCGGCGATACATAAATAGGTTTTGGGTTGCAGTTTGGGCACTCCATCTCTAAAAGGTTCGCCACCACTGCCATATGGGGTTAACAAACAATAAAATAATCCTTGTTTCATTATCCACAGTTGTTAGGCTGGGATGGACCTGCGCAAATAACAGGGGCCACATCTACACACAGCCCACCAAGTATGCAGAGAGCGTATCTATAAATCACACAGATCCTGTAAAAATATTTGGAAGTAGCAGTCCAACCTTTTCTCAATATATCAGTTGTGGATAGTGTGAACCTGTTCACGTCTTACAAAATAGTATATTTGGTTATATACAGCCAAATCTGAACATCTTGTGAAGACTGCCCAATATTCTATTTGAGAGGGGCATTTTGCAGGGTGGCCACTCTTTTCTGTGTTTTGTGGATATAATCGTGTCTTCTCCTTCAGAAAAACAAATTAAGATTTCTTTCAATGCATTTTTTTCAATGGCAGAGCAGCATCAACTCCATAAATTTTATGGACCGTCTGGAGAAGCCAAGCCGATTAAATATCAACTTAACTCCTGTTCCAGAGGAAATGCTCCAAAGACAATTTGGCAGTACTTCCTTGGAAGTTGCGGAGCAGCCTGTCTTATTGGCAAAAACTCCTGCCTTGTTTTGTTTTCTGAAACTTCTCCCTTCACCTAGGTGTTAAGGCCTCTTTGTCCTTCCTGCTAACCCCTACCTTCCACCATCAACCAGCTCAAGAAGAAGAGGGGGAGGGCATCTGTGAGATGCTATGAAAATGCAACTTATGATTGACAGAGCTGGTGGCCTTCTAGAGATACTGAGGCTGAAGATACCATTAGAGACAAGTGGACATGTTCAAGGTCATCACATAGCATCAAGGAAGTACAAGAGTTCTTTCTGACCAAGGAAATCTTATTCAAATGAGAATAAAATAAAAAAGTAAATTTGCTCAGATCTAATTACAAGTCGGCAATAAAGGATGTAAACAAGGATTTTCATGAGCATACAACTAGTAAAATTGTTAAACATGTAGAGTATAAAGAAGTAAAGTAAACACTGGAAGTACTGAACACTAGACATTTGTTGACAATTGAAAATAATAAGATCAGTGGGACTAGATGGATTAGTTTTAAAACAACAAAAATGTGAATTTGCTCTTCTTCTAACACAGAGTTTCATAATCTTGACAATCTTAAGATGTATAGATTTCAACTACTACAATTCTCCAACAAGCATGCTGGCTGGAGAATTCTGGGAATTGAATCCACATATCTATTGTCAAGGGTGAGAAACCTTAGCAAAAGGATGTGACTGGTCCTTGAATTATCCTTTCTACCAGAGACCTAAAAACGTCCAGTCTAATGCCAAGAAAGGAATCGAATCGTAGCCCAACATGGATGCTTTAAGACATACAGTAGCTCCATTGGATAATGTAAGTCAGGGGTCTTCAAACTTGGCCCTTTTATGACTTGTGGACTTCAACTCCCAGAATTCCTCAGCCAGAGTGCTGAAGTCCACAAGTCACAAAAGGGCCAAGTTTGAAGACCCCTGATGTAGGTGATTCCTATAGAAAAAGGGATAACTATACAGGAAGGCAAGTTGTGTTGACCTTCACATAGTTGTAAGGGATTCAAATATTTTATTTGATTTTTTCCAAATAATATTTACTTATCCCATCTAAACCATTTCCTGTGTTCCAGCTTTGGTTTGAAATATGTTAAGTACCAAATACATTTTTAAAAAACACACGAAAACAAAACAATACAGTCAATTAGAATGGTAGACCTTTTGCCCAAAGAAGAAAAGAGCAACTGGATGGCACTTACTGATTGGTCTGTTGTCTTTCCTGTCAAGATTGCCCTTGCCTTGGCTTTGGTCAGGGGGAAAGACTTTATGTAGGAATCGTAGAGCAGCTTGGCTAGGGCTCGCAGATCAGCAGATTCAGGGTTCAGCTGGTCAATGTCACTTGAAATCTCAGCCAAGAGTTTCTCCTTCTCAGCTTGTGGCATTCGCCCAAATCTAATAGCTGAAAGGAAAAAAAAGGCAACTGTCATAAACTGCACCTATCTGATCTCTATTGTGTTGTAATTGCATTTTCCCTCCACCACCTTTTACAACTTTACAGGATGGAGTTCTTTTAAGAAAAAAGGGCATTGAAAATAATGGGCAAAAAATTATCAGCTCATAAAATGTACCAACGATGAAGAGGAAACGAGGGCATCCCAGTTTGGTGGCACTAAACTTTGATTCTGACAACCTGTTTCGTTGGCTTATTTATGACATTTGGCTAATTCAGGAGAAGTTGGTGGCATTTTGATGGAAACCAGACCACTGATTTTCAGTGATCATAGCAGCGTGGCCCATGTGACCTGAACTGTAATATAAATATAATGAATGAATGAATGTACTGTTATATAAGAAGCATCATTTTCTGACAGTCCAATATAGCTCTATGCTATAAGACAGAACCCACTTCCATTACAGTTTCCAATATATCCTGCTATAAAGCAGAGTTAAAATATTCTATCTTATTTCAAATTTCAGAGAGAGAGAAAAAAGAAAACTGGCATATCCACAGAGAGCAGAAGTGTATAGCATGAATTTAATTACTTTCCTTTTCCCTCTCTACTATTCCTTGCAATGGAAATCATGAAAAATTGCTTATGTTTGCTTTGGATTCTAACTGCAATATAATGTTTCCTCTCAGTGGAAAAGCAGTGCTCCATATTACCATCACTAGTGACCAATCATTGTTAAATCACCTCCTTTCTTGTCTTTGAGAAAAATGGCTTTCCACGCATCTGAGTACAATCCATGTTGTGTAAAGACTCTGAATTGGAATAAAGAGAGTACCTCCTAAACTGATCTTTTTCTACTGGGGGAATAGACATGTTCAGGATGCTGCTTAATGTGGGCTAAAAATCCTAAAATTTACCTATAAGGCTTTTTTTTCTTTTCTATGCTGAAGGCATAAATAATTTGAAGAGACAAATTGTTTACTCTAGTAGAATTTCAATGATTTCAAAAGAACGTTTCTAAAGCCAGAAATAAACACATTGACACATAATATTAGGACTTAAAAGTTATCTGTATGTGTGTTTGTGTTCATATGCCTCTTTTGTCTATCTCTGTGTAATACGCTGCAATCAGTTTTTCTGTATAGAAATTATTCTACCATAGAAAAGATAAAAGTGATTTGGCTTCAGCAGAATATTTTACTTCATTCCTTCTATTATCTGAATGTTAAAAGCATGAAAGAAGGAAAGTTCAAAATTGTCAAAGCACCAAATAAGTGTACTAAATTGTATGTTTTAGGAATAAGTGATTTTATGTAGTGTAGTGATTATGGTGCTGGCCTAGAAATCAGCAGATGATGAGCTCTATGCATCCCTTCGCCATGAAAGCCGGCTGGGTGATTTTGGGCCACTCTCTCTCAACTCAACCCAATTCACAACATTCTTGTGAGGAACACAGGAGGCAGGAAAATTAGGTATGTTTGCTGCCTTGATAAAAAAGCAGGATAAAAATACAGATATAATAATAAAAAATAAAGATATAAAAAGGCAGGATAAAAATCTAACAAGTTCTTCAAAGAAGGCATGAATCAAAGCATATAAGGAAAGGTTGCTGGAATGGGGTATGTCTAATTTGATGAAGAGAAGGACGAGGGGGACATGATAGCAGTGTTCCAATATCTCAGGGGCTGCCACAAAGAAGAGGGAGTCAGGCTATTCTCCAAAGCGCCTGAAGGCAGGACAAGAAGCAACGGGTGGAAACTAATCAAGGAGAGAAGCAACCTAGAACTAAGGAGAAACTTCCTGACAGTTAGAACAATTAACCAGTGAAACAACCTGCCTCCAGAAGTGGTAAATGCTCCAACACTGGAAGTTTTTAAGAAGAGACTAGACAGCCATTTGTCTGAAATGGTATAGGGTTTCCTGCCTGAGCAGGGGGTTGGACTAGATGACCTCCAAGGTCCCTTCCAACATAATAATAATAATAATAATAATAATAATAATAATAATAATAATAATAATAATAATAATAATAATATGCTTCCATGGTGATCGTTTATGTAGGCAATCCACACACATAAATAGTCCTTTACTTAGGATTGTTCTTTTAATGATGGTCTAAAGTTACATCAGCTTTGGAAAAAGTGACTTAAGACCTATATTTGAACTTACGACTGTTAGTCCATCCCCCCACTCCCTCACAGTGACGTGACTGCAATTCTGGCACTTGACACTTGCATATACAGCTGGTTATAGTGTACTGTGGTCACACAATT